CCAGAGGTCCCCAGCACCGAATAGTCGGCTCCCATGTTGGTTTGAGCTCTAGGCCATTTTCAAGTGGGACACGGCCGGGACCGCGAGTTATATCGGTCGAGAACCCCACAAAAAGTGGGGCTTCTGTATCGCTCAGTGTCCCACAGTGCTTACAGAATATTCTGTGTCAGCAAGGGTGGCCAGGGTCCAGAGTTGTCAAGAAAGATTTGCTCAGCAGAAACGGGACGGGACCCAGAATGACAGAGAGCCTCTTGCGTTGATCGTGGTCCTTTGACAATGAGAGGAAACATAAGCTTGCGATGATCGTTCACATTGAGGCAAAGGAAGGGTCCTGTGTCCGTCAGGCCTCCAGTACCGAACGGTGGGCCCCCAGCCCAATTCCAGCAATGGCCCGTTAAGCCGAACTGGAGTCCTTGTGCCTATTATTGGACCACTTGCGCCTATCAGGGATGTTGTTGCGCCAATGAGAACTCCTTCGTCGTTTCGGGGTTGCGGTACCGGTGCGGGTCAGAAGGCCTCCCGCGTTAGTGAGGGGACCGATGGGATATTATTTATTCATCTAAGCCTCCGCCTCCGGATCGGTCAGGGGATCACGCCCCGTGTCGGCAGAATGGCAACCGGAAGACAACCTGCGGTGGGACGGAATGGCCCTTCAGCCCTTGATCGGGTACAATAATGTGCCCCCTAGTGTTCTAATCAAGGGGGCTCCTTTTTCAGAAGAGGAAAAGGGTCTCAATGGCGTTGAATAGAGCTGGTCGACATGAGTTAAAAAAGGAACGAGACCATCGCATGTGTGTCTGAGAACGTCTACTCTTTTACAGAATCGACTAGTGAAACGCTAGACAATTGTTTGAGCCTGAGCGCCCGCCATTTCCGGAGCAAGAACAGCGATTGCCTGGACCGCAATTTCCGTAAAACCAAACAGCGTTGGCCACTGCAAGTGACACCAGGCAGAGGATGCTGTGCGCGCGAATGACCGTTGTAAAATAATCATTCCGAATGTCTAGCAAAACTAATCCGTACCTTTCAAAGATGAGGCTAGGCGTATTTGTACAACTTTAAGACTTACCTTCGGACAGATAATAGTTAAGCAACACGAAAAATAAATATTATACCTTCACTCTTCCAATTCCACCACTAGATTCCAGCGCTACTTTGCGGTGTTGCGGTGTGTACCAAAGGCCAGTCCGTTATTAATGATAATTTAGAAACCGCACAAGTGAAATAAACAGCCGGACTACCTTCTAAATGGGCGATGTAAAGTCCTAAAGCGTTTAAATGTACTTCTTTTAAGTGTGTCATAATTGTTGTATACACGTTGTCCACGACAACGTGTATACGTGTATTAATATAAGCAGCGAGTTGACGCTTCGCGGACGGCGGAGACTGCAATACCCAGCATCGAGACTTTTGCCGCAAAGATTTGCGAACGCGTACGCTCAAAACTGCGCTAAATAATTTGTATCACTCATCAGTTTTGACTGAATGTTGAAAATTATCAGACATACATGGCTCGGTCATGTTTTTACAAGTTGGCGACTCATTTCGATTCGCCAATTTCGATTTAGAGTTGGGAACCCATTTCCATTTGGAAATGGTGTCATCTCTGTGCAGCCTAGATAAATATTCTGAAAAAGCTTTTGAGTTATATCGGTTGAGAAATAGTCCACTGGTCCACTGCAAAATGAAGAGTGCCGGAGATTTATTTCATGCAATCGTTTAACGTCGTCCACTTTGTGCCGCACTGCCAAAAATAATTTTGCCTCCGTCTTTTCACCACACAGAACTAAGGGTTGTTACACGTGCCGCACAATACTGCGAAGCGGCCGCGCTGGCCTGGGCCGGCCATCGTTGGGTGCCGCACAATATTGTGAAGCGGCCACCCCTGGCCTGGGTCGGTCATCGTTGGGTGCCGCACAATATTGCGAAGCGGCCGCCCCCGGCCTGGGTCGGCCATCGTTGGCCGGATGCCGGCTGACGTTTCTATGCCAGTCGGGCCAAACAGCGTTCCCATCCTGCGACCCGTACCCAGTGCCCCTGGATAATGAGCTCAGCGTCTTTCCCCTAGATAAGGTAGGCGGTATTCGTGAACCTCCAATCTGAAAATAAATTTCCCAAGGACTTTTACCATGATGGTGCTCTCACGCCGTCCCTACGCTGTTTGGAACTTTAAGCATTTTGACCTCCAACGTTCAACAAAAGTCACTGTAACCAAGTTTGACCAGCCTACCCACCATTTGACGACCATTTGACGGAAACTGACGTCACAAAGAAACTCAAAGACCAGCGTATCAGCGCTTCACCAAAGACACCACACGCTGTACAAATGATGAGGTAGCCATAATCGTGGTTACTCAAGGCGCTGTATTAACGGTTGGCCTGGTTCGCTTCACTGCTATGACTTCGCCTCAGCAGCGGCACATGGCGCACGGCACATATCGACAAAAAACACAGTAGGAAAGGTATTCGCGATTGTTTTAAAGCATAACATGAAAGTGATGCATATAAACAGACCTATTCATCGTGACGTCGGGCATATTTAACCTCTGATCATTGACGTGACGCTTTCATCAGGATTTCTGGAATACTCATCATGTGAAGGTGGATAGCCTAAGAAAAACCGAGACGCCAACATAGTCGCATTCAGCCATGGACAGTGTTCCTCAAATGGTCTACCTTTCTGACTCCTGAAAACTGTTGCTTTGTCTTAGCCCATGGGAGCTATTAAGGTTTTTATGTTTACAGTGCACGATGTACCACAAAGTTTCAACCTAAAAAAAGATTGGAGCAGGAATAGGAGCACTTATGGGAGCAGGAATAGGAACAGGAGCACTTATGTAGCATTATCTGTCCAGGGATAGAGCATACCCAACAGCTTGAAATGCTAAAATGTAACCATCTGTTCTTGTTATCATGTAGTGCATCATCAAGTTATATAAACCTCAATCGAATTTACATTTCTTAACACGCGCTCGGGTGGGGGGTCAAACTGACCCCCTCCCCTCCCCCCCGAAAGGTTTTTCCAGAGTGGCTCTCGAACGGCACGGCGCAGCCGCGCCAAACTTTGCATAGCTGTAGACAATTAAATAGCGGATCGTTTTGAATCAAAAATTTAGATGCATCTTGTAAGGTTGCTAACCTTTGGCAGGTCAAAGTCAGGCCATGGTTTCAACGAGGGCAATTTCTAGGGAATCCTTCAATCTGATCCGACAACGCAGTGTTAGACGAAGCCATACATCTCTGAGATGTTTTCTTAGGCAGCATAGCAGTTGAATGGGCATATTACATTGACCTATGGACAGATATGAAGATTACACCAAGGTCAAACTAACCTGTTTTGTTGCTCTAGGGCTTGCTGGATGGGATAGTTTCTGGTGCTCATTTCGAGTTTATTGATAGCAGGAACCGCATTATACATCATCCATGGAGTTCTTAGAGTTTAGAATAGGCCATTGACCTAAAATGATCCAGGTCAACATTTGGTTTTAGAGACATACTGCCGAGCGTAATCTTTGTCGCTTGGTCAGATGCAAAACTCAAAGCAATCTTGTATTATTTTTGTCACCTTGACCTTTAAAAGGTCAAACAAGGTCACTGACCTTAAATTAGCATGTGGTCTTTTGCTTAGAAACGGTTATCTAGGTTCTGGGGGCACTTTGGAGACCCACCTGGAACTTGATCTTTTTGGCCTTTTTTGACCCGAAGGTCATGACCTTGACCTAAGTGAGTTCACGTACAGGTCAAGGCATCCTGTAAATTTGGTGTATCTAGCTTTTTTAGTTCCCGAGATCTTGGGGGGTCAAATTGACCCCACCCCACCCGAGTGAAGGGTATTTAGCCGGCCACCCGGGCGCGTGTTAAGGCAAAGTTCCCTTTACCCTCACACTGATAGGTTGAAAGGGGGAGGGTGGATGATGCACACACACCTCATTGCGGATTTAGGATACCTCTCCGGAACGTTTTGCAATTACAACCAGTTTTTAGAAGCTTATGGGGCATGTATCGTGCGTGCCCTGACACAGAAAAACGTGTTCTTAGCACTTCAGGTTCCGGAGCAGTGGCGGTTTTTGTGGAGCACTGCACAGCAAGCTACTGCCCAAGCGGGCCGGCCGACGGCAACCAACGATGCCGCGGAATGCGCGCGGTGGGCCGACATCGTTTGGTCTAAGGAGTCATGTGCCATAAATGTATGCTAAAAGTACACATTAAAATAAGCCATTTTACTATAAATTGAATAAGCACATCTGTTCAAATTTCTTGTCGCTAAAAGACATGGTTTCGTAGATCAGATACTGTTCAACTGAAAAATACGATTTTCAGAAGACTTTCACGTTGTACCTGTCATAATGGGGTCAGTTATTGACATGAAAGCTTGAAAAGTGGCATCAATCACGATATTTTGTTAACACCATTCCACTCCTTTTTCTAGTCCATTTTTATAAGTCTGGAAGCTCCAGGGATTGCATCAACCTCTCCCAGCAGTCCGTGTTATGAAAACGGCGAATCGGGCGAAGGTTATTCCGTCATACTAGCATTAAATTGACAGAGGCAGTAGATTAGGAATTTTTTGAAACCTGAAATGTGGCTGTTTGGTTATGGACATATATAGCCCAGTGCACGATCTTTCTACCAACAATAAATTGTTCGCGAAACACAAAGTTGCACAGCACAGCATCCTTCGATTAACCCAAAACTTTGACAAATGGTTGTTCATGACACGGGCCTGAAGACCTCACGCCCGCTCTAGAGTCCAATTATTGCGAGTCCTGAGGTAACAAAGGTGGATTTAAGGGGAATGTTTCCTATTCTTATGGGGTTTTGAGCTGAAACAGTCATCTTAAAGATAATTTGGTGCAGTTCACAGCTCCGTCCTTCATAAGACCTAAACTACTGTAGTTCCTGGGCTACATGACCGCGAAGATGGGGAACGTATTTCAGGTCACCTTGGCACACATGACGCCATGATAACTTCATTTGAAATCCGCCATTCCATAAGTCATGCGGCGATTATGGCCAACAAAAATATGTCGATCGAGTCGTTAATATCTGACGTTCGTGAGCACAATCTCCAGATATAACGGCCGTCAACTGGCTCTTAATCAATGTTGTGCAAGGTGCGATGACGTAATCAAACAACGTCGTATTTAGGGGCACATTTACTAAACAAAGAAACTGCCTTGTTCTAGAACAGTCCTCTGTTTAAAAGTGCACCAATAGTTATAAAGAAGTCTGTTTTGTCATATCTAATGCTTGTTTCAATATCTTCAAATGTTAAACATTGCCTTTAACAAAGGAGATGAAAGTGCTCAAATGCCTTACACCCAGGGTACCCCAAGGGAAATCAATTTATTGACCAAAACGCAAAAGTCGGTGTATTTGCATGGACTACGGGCGATGTTAAGTGATCGCTCCCAGCACCGTTTAATTTTAAGCCACGCAATTTGCTGTGGCTGAGTTTCTACGGGTAGAGGTGCTTAGAGTACTGCTTGACAGCCACAGAAAGCGAATAAAAACAAGGCTCAGACGACATTGCCTTCGTATGTTCCAGAGATATGTGCGTAATATACACACACACACACACACACACACACATATATATATATATATATATATATATATATATATATATATATGTCCATTTATGGGACACGACGTCGGGTGGCGTCGTGTCCCATAAATGGAGCCCAAGTCACGACGCCGGGTGGCTTTGTGACTTGGGCTCAGGTCGCTGTGTCGTGTGTGGAACGGCTGCGTGCGGGGAGCAGGACGACCTGTGACCGGTAGGCTGGATGTGATGGTGAAGTTAACGGGTCACTGGGGGACCCAGTAAATAGAAAAGCGTGTAGGTTATTTGTCAAGACTTCAATGTGGTAAGGGGTAACCATCCACTAGCAATGAACTGTTTCTGTTAGACCCGTAACTGTCGTGCATTTAATTGCTGAAACTTGACGTAGCATGCACATAACAGCATATGTTCGGCCATTATTTAAGGAGGGGAGGGCCGAATCATGGTTTCACGATCTTAGGAGAAGGGGACCATTGCCCCTTTGCCACCCCCGGGATCCGCCCTCGGCACGGGCGACGGAGCTTTCCTAAGATGGGGGCAAGCACGCTGTTTAAATCACTTTCGTCTTTACATCGCCGTTGGGTCGCAGAGATACCTTCGCCGTTCTTACGTTGTTTAGTTCACCTGATGTGGCGAGGATTAGAAGGGTGCTATCTTCTTCTTTACCACCCAAAAAACTCTCTGTCTGTTTGAACTAAGCGGAAAGCATGAGTCTGAATCATAGATTTCAAGATCCGCTTCAAATAAGTGCCAGTGAACACCAATATAGGCTATTTGTTATGGAATGACCCTGGGCACTTCGGTAAATATTGTGAATTTAGATGCATTTTCTATCTTCAAAACTATGTGTGCTCCGATGGTGGGGACGTCGTTCTGCGTACCTACTGGCGGACGGAGTCATATGCCTGTAGAAACCAATCAGCGGGTGTGAAGCGTGATATGTCAGATCAGGCCACACGGGTTAGATGTCGGTTGCGACCTTGTGGGAGCTGGCCTCACCCAACGACACTGCATAGAGCTTGTCAACCTGCATTAAATGCAAGTAATTGTGACCTAGTATTTTGGAACCAAGTCATGGAAGGAACAGCACTGTTGTGAAGAGTTTGTCGTTTTGGTACATTTGACCTGGCCGGACCTTGAACGGCCTGGCCTGAATGGATTTTATAAAAAAGCGTCACTGTATGCTCTGTGAAAAGATCCCTTATAAACACTAATGTAAGGAGGTACCTTATGACGCGTGTTCTACGACAAACATACCTATGCCGCCGGGTACTGGAGGAATGCGGCGTGCGGCGCTGTGACCACGAGGAAGAGATCGCCACTGACGACCTTTAAAGCCAAGCGCCTTGAGGTTTCCAAAGCGGGTGGAAACATTTGAAAACCGATGAATGAAATTATACCATCTGGCGTTAAGCGGCTGGAAAGCTACGCCACACAAAAGCTGGGCTTCTGTGACTCTCTCGCCCGGCCGCTGTTGAAATATCAAGAATAATGGGATCATTAGCCCATGTTCTTGAAGCCCTTTGTTTGCTTTAATGTCTTAATATTAAATGTTTCGTTTGTTTGTTGATCGTTTGATTTTTCACGGTTTCTTCTCTTTCCATAGATAGATGGTCTTATCCCGGGAGCGACGGATGTGAATTCGGTGCTGAAGGAGCTCTGGTGTTGCGTGAATCAGCTTTGGAGCTTGGTGCTGAAAGTATTGAAGGGAAATGCCTTACGTAGGCTATTCGCCTGGGAGTTAGTGGCATCGTCCACACCGATAAATTCGTATTACTACATGTATTTTTACATGATGTTAAGTAGGTTTTACATATAAACATTTGGCCAGGAGGCCACTTACGGTTTTCGGACATCGATTCACAGTTAACACCAACACGCCACAGAGACATCGTTACAGTGGAGCAGTGGAGCGGCAGTTGTTGGCTGTCCACAGTCCACAACAGCTCTCATCACCACGAATTTGATAACGCGATCGCCTGTTCACCTCCGCTAAACCACGCCAGACAACCGGAGCCGCGTCTAGAGCATCCAGTCACGCACGCGATATGGTGCACGGGTGCACGTGCACGACACTGTCACACGTACGGCGTGCACGTGCACGACGCTGTCACACGCGCTACTTGTCTCGGTCATGCCTGCCTCACGGGAGAGCAGCCTCGGCGTGGGCATCGTGCAGTCGATGCGCAATCGATGCGTGTGCGGCGCGACACGAGCGCACCTTCAGTGACACGACACGGAAAGTCTCATATTTGCGTCACGATATCGTTCATGCGTCAGGCATGCGACACCGGCATGGGTGGGAGTGTCGAATGACACGGTCAAACGAGCGTGTCACACGACACAGGAAACAAGGCCCACAACAAATTAAGACGGTTTGGACACACATTAAGTGATATGATCCCGAAAATATGGGTCATGTCACACGAGTAACGACCCGCCGCGACGCAGCACGCCCTGCGTCACGCCGGCAACGACCACCTCACTCAAACTCAGCAGCATACTCGATGACAACTGGCTCACACTCGGACATGTGGAGCTTGGAAACGCCTGGAACAGCGCTAGGGCGGCTGACGGCGTTTCATGGCAGGTGACTCTCGGATCCCTGATGTCATCCCGCGTTGCGTGGCTTCGTCGTCCACCACGCGCACGCCTCTGTACGCGTCCTATTCCGCCAGGCGCGCCACCTTTCTCCTCCCCGAGATCGAGAACACAGAGGGCGCCGTGGCACGGACGGCGCTCCCGCCCGCTAGATGTCTCTGCCGACCCCATTCGGAGCCTTCCAGCGGTCCGTACATGACCAGCGATGGTTCCCGCATTCGACGGGTCTCGCTCTAGACCGGCTTCCCGCCAGTTGACCGCCGGTGCATGACTGCGGGTTCCCCAACGGCCTTAGGCGTCTCGCCGCTCAGAAGAGACGGTAGTGGGTCAGTGCCCAGGTCTCGTCGCTCAGAAGAGAGGGACGCACAGAAGAGACGATGGTGGGTCAGTCTTCGGCTCTCGCTGCTCAGAAGAGACGGTGGTGGGTCAGTTACCTGTTTTCGTCGCTCGGAACAGACAGTCGCTCAGAAGAAAAGATGGTAGTTCAGTTCGCAGTCCCGCTAATCAGAGGAGACGGTGACGGGCCGATCCCAGCCTCGCCGCTCAGAACAGGTGGTGGTGGGTCAGTGCCCGCGTCTCGCCGCCCAGCAGGTAGGGCGCGGCCGAGTTCAGCAGGCTGGAGAAGGGTCCGCCGGGCAGGGCACTCTGCGGCGGCGGCGGGCCGTACACGTGACTGGCGGTGCTGAGTGGCGGCGGCGTGTTCTGGCCAGACCGGGGCGGCGGCGGCGGCGGAGGCGGCGGAGGCGGTGGTGGCGGAGGCGCCACCTGGTGCGGGGATGGACTGTTGGAGCTGCCCGCCACAGGGGCCCACTTGTTGACATCCGGGGACGAAACTGAAACAAACATGGAAATCCATCAACGGGTGAAATGTGCGGCCCTTCGGGACTCGGATTGGCGCGAGGTTCTGCCACATAATATTGTTGCCTCCTAATTCAGGTACTCCCGTGAATGTACGCTGTTCGTTTGTTCTATTATATCAATGATTACATCTATTTATAACGAAGAAGAATCAAAATGACACTCCCAAAACTCCTAATTGCCAAAAAAGAATATGTATAACTGTCAGTCGTCAAGGTTTTAATACTGAGCATGCTCGAGTAAAGAGTGATATTTTATGCTGTGGTATGTAAAAACACAAGATGTCTCAGTCTGATATCAAACATGCATAGACGAAGGTAACAGCTGCCTCATTCTCATCTTAATTTAAAAGATACCTTCACGACTACATATGTTTTAGGCATACCATATCTTTTCGAACCGAAGGCAGCATTTCGCGTGATCATTACATGATTGCGCCCGCGCTATTGAAATATCATTTTTCCACCCTCTCGTAAAACAATCTTTGGTATAAAAAATTCAAAATCCATTTGTAATTTCATCACACGCTAGAAGGCATATTGTATTCCACAGCACATGATTAACCTGGCATTTTCCTCGCTTGTCGAGTGACCCGTTTAGAGTGCTATTGCATTTTTTTTATTTAAAACACTGATGAGCATTAGCGTTTTTGATATCCACATTAAATGTTAAATGCCACCAATAAAATTGTTAATGAGTTCCCGCTATTGAAGTGACGGCTTTGTACCTCGTCTTTGGTTCGACCAGTACATCACTGTCATTCTTAAGATCATTTGTACAATAACTTTGTTACTGCATTCCATGTACAGCATTAAAATGTACTGACAAAACACCTTCGACGCGTCGGATTGACCAGCCAAAGGAGCCCGCCTCGGAGCGGCAGCGGCCGATCGGGGACAGCTTGTCCGGCCGCGCGGACCTGGCACGCCCCAGGTCGGGAGTCCCGCCCCAGGTCGGGGAGTCCCGTCCCAGGTCGGGGCGGCCCGTCCTCGAATCGACCGCGGGAACAGTCGGCGGCCGGGCCGCTCTGACGGCCACGTTTAATCTTGGAAATTGCCCGGCCGGCGCCATTGATCTGGGTTAGCGTCTGCCCCAGGAGCCGGGCGACGGCCACGCCGGCGACACCCGGGAGTAAACAGGTCCGCCGGTGCTGTCTCCAGCCCGGGCTCGGCCGTGCAGGAGTGGACAAACCTAGCGACTCAGCTCAGTGGCGCGCGGTATGTGGCCAAACAGGTCTGGTGGCGCAGGACACGGTCTGGTGCACCACGCAGGAGTAAACAGGTTCAAACACAGGGGACACGGGTGTGCCACGCGGATGTTAACAGGTCCAGTACCACAGAACGCAGCCGTCCGGTGTGCACCACGCAGGGGTTAACAGGTCCACTGGCACGGGACACGGGTGTACCACGCGGAGGTTAAAAGGTCCAGTGACACAGAACGCAGCTCAGGGTGTACCACGCAGGGATGCACCCAGGTCCACCGACACCCCGGTCTGGTACCACGGTAAGGCGGACGGGACGTACCTGGAGGGTGTGGTTTGGAGTCCAGCTCCTGACCGGGCGGAGTCGGTTTCGTGTCCTTGCTCTGTCCAGTCGGTGGCTTGCCATCCGTTTTGTTCGCCTGGCCGCCTGCGCCCGCGTCTCCCGTGTTGTTGTTGTTGACCGCCTGTTTCTGCTGGTTCATGCGTTCCTGTTTCCGGAACTTTGCCCGCCGGTTTTGAAACCACACCTGTGGACGGGGACTAAGGTCAGGGAACTGCATGCAAGGAAAAACTCCGTCGTGCACCGAAACCCAGACTGAACGAGAATTTGTTCAGCATTCATGAAAACAACGAATCTTGCTACCATCGTCTCCGTCTCTGCTTCCACATTTCATATTTCACAGTGTGCCCAGGTCGGCCAAATTTGGACACGTTGTGCCCGGGAAGAGCCTAGGCCAAAATGCATGCCTTGCTTAAGGATAAAGTTTGATCAATATACGCCGTGGGTTTTTCGCGTGCATTGCCTGTGTGGAAACCAGCTTTCACGCTGGCAATGCACGCGAAAAGTTTATTTTGTCTACCGAGGTAATTGCACGCAAAGTCTTTTCTGTCAGTTCTTTGAAGCTTCCAAGGGGAATACAGAAAAGAAGAGGAGCTCGATATCTCCCAAGTCGGGAAGCCTAACGGACCGTGTTCATATCTTCCTCAAAATAGTGTTTTCAAATTAGTGAGAGCATGGGTGCAACCACGTATCCTAGATTGGGAATAACTCAGCATTGGGTTATAACTTGAATCTCGGCGGACAATGTCACATGATAATATAATTTTGAGTGAGAAAACGTGGAAAACGTGCATTCTGCGCGAACGATGGGGGACAAAAACGCCTCCTGGGAAAAGTAGGGGAGCCGCTCCGCCTCGCCGTTCCGCACTGGTAACACCCATTGAGTGAAAGGCACAAATAAATCATGAGTATTCCTATGTGCGCATGAGCACTCACATTAGCGTTGTGAGTTCAGAGATTTGATGCCGAGTTAATGACCCTTAGTATGCTAGGAGGTAGTGGTAAAACGACGTTACAGTGCGAATATTAATTATATTGACAGTACTCGACATCTTAAGCTGGGCTTATGATCACTCGTGGTCATAATCACGAGCGTTTTCTTGTTTTTGTGCAGTTCTTTTTGGTAGCAAACTGAGTTCTCTTCTAAAAATGTTCGGGCGGAGAGAAGCATTGGAAACTAAAGTCAAGCCCCTCTGTATCACAGCATGTTCCGTCTCCACTGCGGTCCGTAAAGAAATCTGCCTGCTATTCGAATCACGGAGTTGTGCTGCTTCATAATGCTGTGGGTAATGCCAGGCGTTCCAGAAAAAAATAAATGAATGCAGATCGTTCCTATTCAGACATTTGTTTGCGTATCAAGACGGATGATGCGTCGATGCAAAGAGCATTCCATGCTATTTTATATCTGACCGTTGAGCTCTCCACATCCCTCTTAGCGTGGAAAGTGCAGCACGTGTTCCATGAGGCCGCAACCTCCTTCAGGCTCTGTGCCCCCCGATCCTCCGCTGCTAAAATTAAGATACATCTCTGGCTTTCTGGGTCTTATGGTCATTCTGATATACTATTTCAGGTCTTAGCTAGTTTTGGGGCTCCGTGTGTACACCAATGAATTTAAATATACACATCGAAAAAATTCGGGGCGCTTTAGTTGGAGGAATGTGCCAGCCAGCTGTTTGGCTCCTCCGATGAACTATGTCTTGGTCAAAATTGCTATATAGCTCACTGTCCCGCTTTCTTAACCACATAAAGTGTTCGCGCTGAATTGCTGAAGACACTGGCGTGACAGATTTTTACCGCGGACTTCCTTTAAAGACAATCAAGACTGGTTAAGGAACGCCTTACACCGATCGGCTGTTGCCGTCATTAAAACTCCTCAGCTATCCTGAAACCAGAAGGAGTCAATAACGCCTCGACCGTTGATGGCACACCAGGCGATGCGCTTATCGCCGCGCAGTGCTGCTTCGCTTGTCACTGCGCGGCAGTGCTTCGCTTCTCCCGCGCAGTGGTGCTTTGCTGTTCGCTGAGCAGCGGTGCTTCGCGAACTTCTGCGGGAACTTCGGCAGACCAAAAATGATAGTGTTGGTTATTGACTTCACTGCCTAACTGAAGTTGGACCTCATCTTTAAATCAAATCTGGTCGATGGCTGAGCGGTTACATTCGCACTGGGGGAAGAAGCAGGCACTGTGGTGCGCATGCGCGTCATAATCAGCTGGTGAGAGCTTCTGATGCATATGGGATCAGCTTGGGCTCTTGTCCTGCCTTCCGACTGGTTTTGTTGCAGCTTGGTTTGGCAGTGGCTTTGCTACAGTTTGTCTCCTGCCGGAGCCAAAAGAAACACTTTCTGAGATGGAGGGGCTCCACAGCAAGGCTCTTGCTTTTGCGACCTCAGCCGGGGCTCTTTTGGCTCGTTTCTATAGGCTAATTTCACCAGCCGGGTTTCAAGTCTGCTCTACGTTTAACTACTGGATATGGGACACAATAAGTTTTCTTGGTAGTGTGTTCCTTTCAGTTTTGACGATCGATTTCCATTCGGAATTCATTTTACTACTTTTGGTTTTTTATGTGCCGTACACGGTAACACGGCCTCTTGAAAATGGTTAACGTATCACACAAAACGCCATTGAGATGGCCTTCAAACAAGTCATGGAAGAGTGCTGTCATTTCGTTTAAGGAACTCTATAACGAGAGAAGATGCGTCCTTTTTCGTGAAGCTCCCGGTACAACGCGTGGGCGTATTAGAAGCAAGTAAATATTGTACAAAGACTAAGCAGTTTGAATACTTTGGGAAGAGTATGAAATAAGCAATGTAACTGGCAACATCCATGACGTTGACTTAGCTATGGGCGGTCCTGCGCTCGCTGCTCTGTCAGGTAGGCCGTCCGGAATACCACAGATATATTCGGCTTCCGTCGCCACGCAGACCGAAATCCCTGAAGTGGTCCCACATGGCCTGCAGAGCAACCCCTTCCTGGTGCCCTTCACCAACACCAGCCAGATGAAACACTAACACGCGCGCCCGGTCCTGCTGCGGTGGCCATCTGTCGAACCCGCTCTGTCGCCGGCCGGCCAGCGGCCTCACTCGGATACAAGATAAACACTGACAGACGCGTGCCATCCGGAGCCCCTTCGACCAACCCCTTCTCGCCACACTGCGTGAGGGGCAGGGATGTCCTCAACAGCTCCATGGCTTTTGGGTAGCGCATGGTGCGCCTTGCATTCGTCTGCGGTGCGATAATTCACTAATTGATTCCAGATTGAATACAAGCGCGCACCAGCGATTGGCCTCGGGCAACTGAGCGCATTGTAAATGTTTAACTCTCCGGACGTTCCGAGCCAGCGCGAAACCCTTCGTGTCAATCAAGCGCACCACAAAGGCGTTTGATCCAAATGGGTTAAAAGCTGCCAACGCGCTCTCATCTATAAACTATTGGATTTAGCGGGCTGATCAGGACGGAGGGTGAGGGTGGCCGGTGCTTTCACAGCTCCAGTCAGCCCGATGCGCGGGGCGCCGTCGCGCCGGCGCTCTCCGGGCAGGCGGCGGCCCGCGCCAACTGGCAATTAGCCCCGCTGACGGGATTAGCGCCTGCATCGGCCGCGCCGCTGTCACCTAATCGCGTTAGCCGCGCCGGCGCGTCCGCACTCGCATCACACCCGGGCGCGGGCGCGCGCGACGGCCCGGAAACGTGACGTCACAACACGGCTGATGCAGCTGCAATCACCGATATGTGATGTGATGATCACCGCTTGTGATGGCTGGCTCCGTGGGTGTGTTCGCGTGGGTGTTGAACTACAGATACGTCGTCAATGTCTCATCTCTAACTTTTTGTCGGGCATAGAATACCCAAAATGTGATTCGATTGATGGTCACCGGTCACCCTGTCTGATAAATGGTCACTCGGTGGCACGGAAGAACGGCGGGGCTCGGAAGGCGCTGGCACGGCTGCCCTGGTGGCTACCCGGTGGTCCTGGTAGCTTGAACATAGCGGACGTTGAAAGCGCGATTCTCGCACATAGGCTGGAGTTGGGAGTGTACGTAAGCGCGGATGTTACATGCAGTGCGCGGGTGAAGTTGTCACCCCTCTGGGACTGTTTATATACTCCAAAGAAGAACTTTCAGAGCATGATTTTTTCGTCTGATCGCATGCCTTAATGAATATGAAAATTGTGGCTTCATATTAAAATGCATATGTTAATGTTTGCTTCGTGGTTCCGCAAACATGAGCCCAGTTTGGACCCGTGGCACTTCATAACATGCATTAGATACGGTAGGGGCTCGAGATAACGATGATGTAGACATGAGCGTCTCAAAAGCGCACTGTGTGTTGCCGGCGGGGTGATTAAAATTAATGAACACGTGACATTGATCTTCCCATCAAGCATGGCAGCAGGTGCTCATTCGTGTCATCGGATAAGGTACAGCACGAGTGCAAACATGCGCAACGCATTGCTACAGACCGCAATTGATAATTTTTGGGGAGGTTGACTGTAAGCACAAGGTAATGAAGCGAATCACATAAATTTGTCACCCCTATAAGCGGACCAGCGCCGGGCGGCAAGCGTCATTCTACACCCAAAGAAATTTCATACTTTCACAATATCACTCACCGCCCATTTCTATTCTAAGGGCGTAATTCTACGTGCGAGTTCTTGAACTTCCCCAATTGAAAATGTCCCCGGGAACGGAAATCGGAGTTCATGTTTAATTCAGCTGCGAGGCCGCCCGCACGGCGCCGCTACGTGCGCGGCCGACTTTCCTCGAGTTCACCGCCGAGCAGCGACCGAAATCCTTGAGCAATCCACTTTATGTGGCTGTTGCTGGAAAATCGTCTAGTTAGCACAACACTGGCAGACCCTTCGGCTTGTTTGCGAGCGACACGTGAGCTGGCGCCTGATGAGGGGCCGAGGCCGGGGCCGGGGCGGGCGGCGCGGCCGGCTGGCCGGGGCCGGGGTGGGGGCGGATGGTGCGGCGCGTTGGCCGGCTGAGCCGGCCGGATCAGCCGCTGGCCACACACGCTAAACGGCGGCGCAAACAGCCGCGCACAGGTGTCACCGGCGGGACCTGTCGCCGCCCGGCGCGCCACGGTCCGACGGCGGCCGAGCGCCCATCTGTCACTGTTGACACACCGGCCGCATGTTGTTAAATCGCTATTCGATGATGAGGTCGGAGCACGTGCGGCCATCTGGCG